GAAGAAGATATAGAAAGAAAAAAAAAGAAGAAGAAGATATAGATGAGACTAAAGGAGAGGGAAATCTCTGACTCTGAGTGGAAATCTAGGTAAAGACAGCTACAAGCAGCATGCATAACACCACAGAGCAATCTATGCCTTTTGATCTTATTTTCCTTGTGGTCCCCAACCCTTGTAAACTGGCACGAGCAATCAGGCTTTTGATTATGTAGCTTGCTTTTAGGATAGAATCTTGCTTTGTTTGGAGGCGACCATCCCAGCTGTCCCACCTGTCCATCAGGTAAGTTCCCGATCAGTTGGTAAGAACAAGGGCTCTGAGCTGAAGGTTTTGCTGACCTGTTCAACTGGGTGTTGCTCTGGTAGCTGAAGGCACATTTCATGATGGTGTCCAGGGTCATCAAGGAGACATGTTCAAAGAGTTCCACATGTGAGTCCTGTGTGACAAGCTCCTCCCATTTTTCCTGTGCAGAAGGGGACATTGGCTTTACTCAGAGTGCCCCAGAGGTCTTCCTAATCAGGTTGGATTCTACTCTCTGAATGTCCTATTGGGAATTCCTTGCCAATGACATTCCTTAAGCCAATGACATTGTTACAAAGTAAGACTGTAAAGCAAATATTGTAAAACAATGTCTATTTTTTTCCATTGATTTTTTTAATTTCAATTTTTATTAATATAAATCAAGATTCAAATTATGGAGCAATTTTCATTGGTTATTGGTTACCACCATAAACCAACACCCAATTTTTTTGTTTTTGTTTGTTTGTTTACTCATTATTGGGGACTCATACAGCTCTTATCACAATCCATCCATCCATCCATTGTGTCAAGCACAATTGTAATATGTTACCATTATCCTTTTCAAAACATTTTCTTTCTACTAGAGCCCTTGGTATCAGCTCATTTCCTGCCTCCCATCTCCTCTCTCCTTCATAAACCCTTGATAAATTATAATGGTTTTCTTTTTTCTATTCTGGCCTTACGAAGCAGGATAGCTTCTTGTCCTGAGAGTTTATGTGCCAAATTTTCAGGTATCAAATATGTGGATCCCAGATAAAGTCTAAAGCATCAGGCTGGGTTCTTTCATAGAAAAGGCACCGGGAACTTCATTTTCATTCAGTAATTTTATTTTTTGTAGTGAGTCAAAAGTGGATAACAAATCAGAGTCCTCATGCTGCAGTGGTGGCATGATAGGGCTGAACCAGGATAATATATATCCAGGGTCCATGTCTCTAAGGAGTGGCTCAAATTCATGCACAAGTAATGCACCCCAGACCAGATGAATGACAAGAACACATGGAAGTGGGTGGTGAGAAGATGGGCTATGAAGAAAGCATGGATCCAAGATAGTGGTGGGATCCTCTGTCAAACCACCTACACACCCATGTGGTCAAGACCATGTGGAGTCATAGTGACAAGTACTTTCCCAATAGTGCTCTGAGAATACAACTTTTGTAAGTGCCAGAGGAGTGTGCAGGGATTTTATTTATGCTACTATGAGAACTGAACTTGTTTGGTCACACTGACGTCGGTGTATTTGATCACATGTGCAAACATGTGTAGAGTGCATACCTATGTATTTTGGATAAGTGTATCTTGGTGTGTCTTAATATGTGTGTTTATGTGTCAGTAGGTTTGTCTGAATCCATGTCTCACCATGAGTGCGAGCACGTTTGAGCATCTCTGTGCTAAAGTACAGAATCACAACAGAGTGAGTGATAGTGCACATAAGCGTCTGTGTGAGTGAACAGATCCTGGACTTATAAATGTATCTATGAGGTTGACAATATGTATGTATGAGGTGTTACCCACCCACCCTCCCCCAAAAAACCTGGAATTGTGCTGGGCACAGCATAGCTTTTGTAGTACAAATTTTTCCAACTAGGCGAGCCTCAAGAACTCATTCTGAGTTAGTGCATCCAGTGGCGTCACCTGGGATGGTTCCTTTTGGGCACAGTGAATTTTTCAGTAAGAGTAGTTTCACTCAAACCTCATTTTTCTATGATTGCTGATTTAAGAAAATAGGGTGTGGCTGTGAAATGTTTCCTATTGGAGTAAAATGCCACAGAAAGAGATGTTATGTTGAACACAGCTTTGCAAGGACAGTGCTGTGGTGAAAAATCAAGTGTATAGGTGGTTTTCTAGTTGCAAAAAAGGTGAAATGTCAATTGATGAGAAACCTCATTCTGGATGTCCATCGACTTCCCGAAAGGACAAAAATTTTGACTGGTATATGCATTTGGAATTCTTTCCACCAGGTGAGACTGTTAATCGAGCTTTCTATTTAGAGGTTCTGAAAAGATTGCATAACAGTGTGTGACAAAAAAGGCCTGATTTGTGGCAGATGGGGTTGGCTGGGTTTGGCACCACAACAATGCACCTGCTAACACAGCCATATCAGTGGGCCAGTTCTTTGGTAACAAACAGCATGCCTGTCTTGCTCCAAGCACCTTACTCATCTGACTTCCTCTGTGAGACATCTTTTTGTTTCCCCGAGTTAAGAGAGACATGAATGGACAGTGATTTGACAATGTAGAAGAGGTGAAGGGAAAAATGAGGGGGGTATCAGCCATCCAAACAGATGAGTTTGAAAAATGTTTCCAAGAATTGAATTGCAGATTTAACAAATGTATTAAGTGTAATATAGAATATTTTGAAGGAAATGATTGTTTTGTTAAAAAAATTAAATACATAGTTTTGAAAAAATCCATTTTTTTATTTTGTTTTTACCCCTCAGATATTAACAGCTGAAATATTCATGCTTGTGGGTCTGAGAGTGTCATTCTGTGTCTGATGGATGTCCCTGGGACAGTGTGTTTGAGAGCAGACTATGAGAAGGTGTGTTGAGAGTGCATGCAGGGATCTGTGAGAGAGAGTGTGTGTGTGGGTACGAGAGAGAAATAGAGAGAGAGAGAGAGACCCACTCACCAGCATCACTTGGACAGAGTCGGCCATGAGCTGCACGTAGGGCTGTAGGATGTCATAGTGGAAGGCAGGAGTCAGCATCCGTCGGTGCTGGAACCATGTTGGCCCATTCAACAGGAGCAGACCTTCGCCTGAGCCAGAGATGCGCGAGTGAGTGAGTGAGTGAGTGAGTGAGTGAGTGTATTTGGGGGAGATGGGAACAAAGGGGCTATTGGAGACAAATTGGGAGGGAGTATAACTGTCCTGGAAGAGAAACAGCTGAAGACATCATTTGCACAATTTTTAAAAGTCCGATTTTAGGAATGCTGAGTTTTCTATTTAACTGATACATGGGGTGTGATTATAATAGCTATGAGATGCAACTTGAAAATGTTGGTCTGAGAGACAGATCTTAACATTTTAAGCAAACTGAGAACAAATGCGGAAGGAGCAGAATTATTAGAGAACTGTAATCACCAAGATGATATGGTTAGGACCTTGGAAAAGTGGAGAAATGAGGCTTGATTCGCCTGTAGGGGTTTTGATAGTGGTGATTGGACACCTGTTGCTCTTTATGAGTCAAAGAGAAAACTTGTGACAAATTTACCTGATGAGTGGAATGTAGTCATTATTTATACATACCAATCCAGGGGATCAGGAATCTGTAGGATCCCATTGCCTTTGGATCTGAAGGGTAAGGAAGGTCAGTGGAATGTGAGTGAAAGAGAGGCAGACTCATTGTACCTTGAGCTGAAACTTATAGGATTAGGACAGAGAATTGGATAAAAATGTAGGTAATTTCTTAAATGCCAACCAGTAAAAAATGCTAGCATTTAGCATCTTTTCCACCCTATATCCCACAATTTTTCTTTCATTCATGGGACAATGTCCATCAAAGAGCATATCAGTTTGGTGGAAAGAAGGAAGAAGAGAAGAGAGAGAAGGAAGCCAAAAGGGAGGGAGCTGGACAAAAGAAAAATGAAGAGAGAGAACAGGAAAGAACAGAACGGAATGGAATGGAAAGGAAATGAATGAGAGAAGGAAGGAAATAAGAAAGAAAGGTGGGAGAGGAAATAGCAGGAATGAAATTTAAGGAAGGAAATGAAAGGAAGAATGGAAGGGAAGAAATGTAATTAAAGAAAGAAGGAAGGATTATCAACTCCATGCAGTTGTTTTAAATGTCCAACACTATGATATTGATATTGGGTTTTGATATGGGGAATGTTATTTGTATGTTTATAGTTGATCTGAGACCTTTTAGAATGTTATTTAAAAGGAAGCAGCTTCTCCAGCT